CAGGGGGGTGGGGGGTGCTCCGGGGGGTTGCCCTCTTCTACAAACAACTATCATCCTTATCTCCCCTCTTTTTTTTATGTCTGTACTCTCTGTAACACCTCTATCTTCGGCACTTTTATGACCTTGTTGTGTCTTGCAAACGCCGTAAAACCTCTACTAAATTAACGTAATAACATTTTTCAACAACAAGTTATTGAGGCAAGATGAAATATTCCTCATTTTAATTCATATAAAATACTATAAATCTCAGTCACGCGGAAAATGGGAGTCGTCACAGCACTTCTCGATTCTCACCAAAGATAGTAAATAAGAAGATGGGCCACTCAGCCAAAAAAGTGTCCGCAGGAAGCATGCTCTTTGCTTCAGATGGGGCTGCAGTCTGTTTTGAAGCTCTCTTTCGTTTTTCCAGAAGAAGAATAGAAATAGCACCTCCTTGAGTGCGCAGATCGACTGCTGTTCATCAGCAGTTCGGGTTCGTTCAGTACGGAGTTTTAGTTTTTTTTAAATTTTGATGACCTCTCGCCTTTCATTCTAAAGTCAAATTATACGAAGAAAACAATCACCCTTTCCTCCGGAAGAGGTTTTTTGTCAGCGTAACCATTTTAAAAAAGCGTTCTTTCGAAATTCATTCAAAAACTTGCTAGTTTCACTTTGATTTTTTAAACTCAAGTAGGATAACTCTGTTTGCTAAAGGTGCGCTTTTGCGAAGAGGGCGCCACCGAATTTAGAGGACACTTTTTTAATTGGCTCAAAGAGAGAAGTGGCCCCTCTTGTTATGTAGACTCTTTGTTCTCACTCACATTTTGTATACGCATTTGGCCTACGTCATAGCTCATCAATGACACATTTTAGTGGCAAAACTTGTTACAAGAAATTAATTGTATAGTGAACACTTTTCTGCACTAAAGTTTCTCAAAACATGCGTTCAATAAGTACAAAGTCGCGATTAGAAAAATATGATGGACTTGCTTTCGAAAGCGATATTGTCCCATCTGTACTGTAAACCTTTTAAAATCTGTAAAATCCTTCAACGTTGATTTTTTATTGGTATTTATTATCGAATTTTCTAGAATACAGGTATCAGGTGTTAATCAAAATATTGATCAGTTCAGACAAATTGATAGATCTACAAGTCATTGTGCAAAAGCTGGAGAGACTTTGTTCCATAGTTTAGGAAATATTTGACAATAAGTTGCGCCACGAATTTTTTACAGCACTATTATAATAGTAATAGATGTTCAGCAGCTAGAAGTTTGTAAGTCTGGGGTACGATATGCTAGATGGGACTGATGTGTCTTACATACAAGTCTGGGACTGACCGTGAGGCCAACGGCTACAACACTGTCTCCATATTCAAGCTAAACCTAACATTCTGGTGAAGAGGATTGTGCAATCTTTAATTTTAATTTTTAATTATTTTTTTTTTGGAGGGGGGAGGAGGAGGTTTTTGTTTGTTGTTTTTGTTGCTGCTGTTGTTGTTTTGCTGGGTTTTTTTCGTTTTTTTCTTCTTTTTTTTCCTTTTTTTTTTGGGGGGGGGGGAGGGTGTAAGTATAAGACAACTATAAACGTATGTAGTTTTGAAGGAGAAGATGTTTTGTTTTTGCAAGGTTTCTTTTTGTCTTGGCAAAACCTCACCTATAGATAGCGCCTAGAGCTGTGTTAACACGGGAGTGGGTGCTATAGAAATGATCTGCATTATTATTATTATTAGATAACAAATCAACATAAACGAGAAGAAGACGAAAGACGAAGTACCGAGAAAAGACACCAATCTTCTGCCAGCGAGACAATAGCCTACCACTACCACCACACCTGTGAGGACATATTTGTAGCTCCATGTTAATAGAAAAGGAAGATAGACTATAATATACTCGTCCTTCCCTCACCGCCGGTCTAAACATGACTAGTGGGTGGTTGGCGGGTGCTCTGGTGTGGTTTGCTACTTCTTTCCTATGAAACGTCTATCGTCCTTATCTCCATTTCTTCTTTTTTATGTTTGTTACTCTCTTGTAACACCTCTAATCTTCTAGCGCTCATATAACCTTATGCAGTTGCGAGCGCCATTAAACCTCTACTAGGGGGCTCTCGTGGCCTAGAGGTTAAGGTGTTGGCCTCTCATTCAAAGGTCCCGGGTTCGATTCCGGGTAGCGACCAAAAAATTTTCTTCTCTAAAATTGTCTCCTTTCACATCCTTTCCTGATCTCTAACAATGTTCTGTTGTCTGCTTTCATTTCCACTTTCTGCCCCCACCCCTCACCGCCTTTGCCCCCTCCTCTGGGCTCCTGACTCTTTCTGCAGCCTTTC